AGAGCTGATGCTCCTCAAAGAAAACATCTCTGGGTGGGAAAGGAACGTTAGTGACCAGGGAGGGAAATACGGTGTGGTAGCAAATGAACTGGGGCGTTGTCTCCCTTTGGACACATCAGCCATCTCCTGGGATTGGGAGGAGGGAGCTCCATAGCACTGGGGTTTGTTGGAGGGCTCAGTCCCCACTGTCTCTCTTCAGGGTCTTCCGTGCTCCTGGAAACCTTTCGGCCAACTCTGCAGCTGTCACCAACGGGTCCTGAGTTCATCACCGGAGATTCTGTTATCCTGACGTGCTCAGCTCCCAGCTGGGAGAAGAAGATGGGGTTCTGCTTCCTCAAGGCCAGGAAACAAGTGGTGTGCACAAGACAGGCGCTGGAGGACTCTCAGAGTTACCAGATTGGCAGACTCAGCATGGAGGATTCTGGCTCATACACCTGTATGTACCGGGTAGCCGAACCTGGGCAGGAGATCTCCTCCCTAGAGAGCCAGCCCATCTCCATCACAGTCACAGGTAAGGCCCCTTTCTCTCAGAATGTGATAGCAGGGACCAGCATCAGAATATAAGAGCGGCCATGCTGGTCCGTGGTCCATCTGGCCCAGTAGTGTCTCCAAGGGTGGTCCATACCAGAGTTTCAGGGGGCGCATACAGATAGGGAAATTATGGAAGGATTCAGCCCAGGCTTCCATCATGTCTTGTAGTAGTCAGAGGTTCAGCCTCACCCCGAGCATGTTGTTGTGTCCCTGACGATCTTGTCTAAGAGCCATTGATGGACCTGTCCTCCATGGATGGATCCAGTACTTTTGGGAACCCAGATATGCTTTTGGCTATCACAGCATCCCACGGCAAGAAGAGCAACAGGGACAAGGCAACTGAGTGGTCGACCTCAGGGGGCTGGACAGTCAATCTCTGGGGCTCTTTCTCCACCTGGCTTGTCTGTACACTTCTGGCTGGGTTTGGCGCCGAGTAACGCTCCGATTTGCTCTTCACTGTTGGGGTGAAGTGGGTGGCCACCAAGGGATGGGAGGTATGAAGGGATTTTCTGTCGAAGGGTAGAAGTGGGGGTGTAGCTTCTCCAAGGGGTACATGACAGCTCCCCATTTTATTTACACAATCAGCCAGGTGCTCTTCATTCAGAGCCCCTCCATTTCTCTCCTTGCTTTCTTTGCTCTTCATTCTCTCCAGATGTCTCACTGCCCCCGCCGGCCCCCCAAATCATTCTGTATCCCCCGAAACACATCTATTTTCAGGGGGAGCATGTCAAGCTCACCTGCTCAGTTCCTGGCAGTGAGCAGGTGGGGGGATACAGATTCTACCATCAAAGAGAGGAGCAGATCTCTGAGCTGGACGAGGGAGCTTGGCTGGAGCGCACGGCTATGACTGGGAATGCTGGGACATACTTCTGTGCCTACTGGATAATTCGATCTGGGCAAGCGATCCTGTCACGGAAGAGTGACTCCGTCTCCATCATTGTGACTGGTGAGTCCAGCCCTGTCTCCAGCACCCCTTTGCCCTTTCCGCGTGTGTTCTAGAGAGGCCATACTCCTTCCATGGACTCCAGACTCTTCATGGCCACCTGTTGAATCTCAGTGACCACTGTAAGGTGGGAAACTGAGGCACCCAATATTGGCTTCATGAATTTTTTCACATTTATTTATAAATTTTCAGATTGAATCATTGACACTTGTCATTTCTGATCATACACACATGACAAACAATAAGACAGATTGGACTGAACAGGCAGGGGTCCAAGTATCCAAATTTGTCTCAGTCTCTGGACCAGTGTTCTCCATTTTGGGCCCTCCGTCACTTTCTTTTTATACATTAATTTGTCCTTCTATGTCTGTCTTCCCATGTCTCCAGTTATACGTTTACCCAAATGTTCATAAGTTGTTTTCATTCTTCTGTATTGTTACAAATCATTGGCATTGCATCAGCATAACTCCATGATTCTTTTGCCATTCAGTGTACATTGTCATGAATAGGAAGATTAAACTAATAAAACAGCCCTTATATTTCCCATTCCACATGTTGCAGTGGTAGGTGTTCAGCAGGATTCGCAGATTGAGACAGTCTGACATGGGCCGTGATATGCACGCGTTTGCCATCCCAGACATCCAATACATGGCCAATGGTGGCCCTGAAATCACAGAATTCTTCCTACTTGCAATGGAATTGCTTAAAAAAATCCATGGCCACACAATTGGAAACGTGGCACACATGACTTGAAGTACTCACCAAGCTAGTCAAAATGTACAGTGATATGCCGAATGCCTCCCCAGAGGAGGGAAGGGTTGGTCGACCTTGAGATCTTTAAATCATCTCCGAACAAAAGTTGGCAGGTCCAAAGTCAATCTGTGGAAGTGGGGCTCGTCCATTGACCCAGATACAAGTGACTGCGGGCAAATGCAAACTAGGGAACATCTCTTGGTCTGCCGGCTCCTGGGGGAAGATCTAGATCCATAGCATGTGCCCAGCACTGGGAAAACGTACATTTGTGGTGGAGGACACAAGATGAAAAAGACCATTCAACATCCATCATCATGAACGATTAGTATTACACTACCAAACCACAGAGCTGATTTATACCATTCAGCACATTTCTCACTCTTTAGCGCCACAGCTCATTTCCTGTGTCTCGTCCTCCGTCATCCAGGATCGTAACCTTTATTTTTCTTGAGTAGGGAAATTTATGGAGACCACCAGGTCCTTCTGGCATCATATCCTCGCCTTTGCCAAATGTGGGCTTGTCCAGGCTCATTTGCTCTATGTTGAGCAGCTCAAAGTTCAGAACTTCTGATTGTAAATCACTCGAAAGTCTCGCCAGGAATTTCTCCTGTTGTATTTTGAGGTGCTTATTCGGTTAGGCACTGTAGCAGTTCCCCCACAGCTCTGCCAGTTGTGAGATGCTGTTCCACTCAGACTGGGGATTGTCATCTGTCCTGTGCGGTGTTTGCTGGGGGGTATTTCACAGGCTGGGGGATCACTGGACTCCCCGTATCAACTTCTCTTGACTCTGGGGGGATGCCCCTCTGCACTGACCCCTTTCTCTCTATTGCAGCTCCTCCACTGGCCCCCAGACTCTCTCTGCATCCCAAGCTCCCTGTGTACCTGCCCGGGGAGAAGGTCACCCTCACCTGCTCAGTCCCCCATGGCAAGGAGGTTGCGGGGTTCAGGTTCCACCAGCACAGAGGGGATCAGACCCCTGAAGAGCTGCCAGCAGCCAGCGGGGGGCCCGGGATGGAGCTCATGGCGCAGATGGGGAATGACGGCTCCTACACCTGTCAGTACTGGAGACGGGAGGCCGGGCAGGAGATTGTATCTGAGAACAGTAACAGCATCACTGTACCAGTGTCAGGTGAGGCTCTGACCTCCGGGATGCTCCCGCCGGGTCTCTCCCACATCTCAGGTGCTGCTAGACAGCCAGGTGAGCAGTGGGACTCGGAGGGAGCAGAGATGCCCCCCACCCGCCCACAAACCCCTTTGTCCTCTGCCCTTCCCCATCCCCACCCTCTGCTGCCCCCTGGTGTCCATTATACAGTATAGCCGCCCCTTCCCCGCCCCCACCCTCTGCTGCCCCCTGGTGCCCATTATACAGTACAGCCGCCCCTTCCCACCCCCACCCTCTGCTGCCCCCTAGTGCCCATTATACAGTATAGCCGCCCCTTCCCACCCCCACCCTCTGCTGCCCCCTGGTGCCCATTATACAGTATAGCTGCCCCTTCCTGACACTGGGCTGTGGTTCTCCTGCTGACCTCTGTATTTTGCTGCTTCCCTTAAACCCCCTTTCCCAGCCGGTGCTGAGCATGGATCCCCCATCTGGAGTGGTGAGTGAAGGGCTCCCCCTGCTCATCACCTGCATGGCCCCTGGTGACCTCAGTGAGCGGAGATTTCACTTTTACAAGGACAGAACCGAGATCGTCCCCAGGGACTTGGGCTCTGAGCTCAGCACCATGGAGTCCAGCACTGACTTCATGACGCTCAGTTTCCCACAGGCTGGTCCTGTGACCACTGGGAAATTCACCTGCGGCTATGAGGAGAACGTGAGGGGGAGGTGGATCCTGTCCCCCAGTAGTCAGGTTGTGAACGTCACCATGAAGGGTGAGGATGCGCCTAGTCCTACAAATGCCATTGAAGATATACTCCGGAGTCCTGCAGTGGGGAAAACGGTTGTTGAAATGATGCCGCTGTGTAGTGAATGGCTGCCTAACTCAACTCCCATTCCTTATGCTGCCCCCTTGTGCCCATTATCCCGTGTAGCCAACCCTTCCCCACCCCTCACCCTCTGCTGCCCTCTGGTGCCCATTATACAGTATACCAGTCCCTTCCTGATACTGGACTGTGGTTCCCCTGCTGACCTCTCCCTTTTTCTACTCCCCTTAGACCCCCTTCCCCAGCCATTGCTGAGCATGGATCCCCCATCTGGAGAGGTGAGTGAAGGGCTCCCCCTGCTCATTGCCTGCATGGCCCCTGGTGACCTCGGTGAGTGGAGATTTCACTTTTACAAGGACGGAACCGAGATCATCCCCAGAGTTGAGGGGTCTGAGATCAGCACCATGGAGTCTGTCTCCGGCTCTGTGAACATCTCTGTGCTCAGCATCCCACAGGCTGGTCCTAAGAACACTGGGGAATTCACCTGTGGGTACGAGAAGAACATGAGCGGGAGGTGGATCCAGTCCCCCAGGAGCCAGGCTGTGAATGTTACCTGGAATGTCACCAGGAATCACAGCTGGAGAGGTGAGGCTCCCAACAGTATTAACAGAATGAGAAGGAATATTTCCCCTGAGGTGCAGTTCCCATTTTGGACCCATAGGTGTCAGGATCACATCCTGTATCTGGCATGCAGAAATTCCTTTCTTAAAGGGGAGGGTGCAGATTGTCCCTATTCTGCAGGCTGCCTGGGGTATAGCAGAGTCCGCAGTGCCATGCAGGGGAAACGTTTACATTGCAGATCCTGGCATAACGCCTGCTGTCGCTCTTCCCCCTTCTCTCAAGCAGGCTGGGCTCTGCCCCTCCCCTTGGTGGCTGGTTGCGGTGGCGGAGGAGCCGCTCTGGGGCTACTAGCTCTTCTTGGCTGCTGCTGCAGAAGGAATAAGAAAGGTACCGGTAATGCAACCTGGATGGGGAATGGGAGCTGGGGTCTCGTTTGTGCAATTCTGGAGGAGGGTGGACAAGACTGGGGTGGAGAATGGGACCCAGGTGTCCAGGGATCCCCAGGGTTATGAGGCACAAGCCCTTAGTGTGACGGATTCTTGTCTGTGTCCTGCTGTGGATCAGCTCCCGGACTCCGCTAGCAACATATGCTCCTGGAAACTTTGCTGTCTGTACAGGGTAACGATTACCCCCTGGTAATCTGCTGTCCCCAAAGGAATAGGACACTCCAACTTTGGATGCTCAGTTCGGGGTCCCCACTCACCATGCGGCACTTAGATCTGTTTATAAAGAAAACAAGAGGAAGTTTATCATCAAAGCGACCAGGTGGGTGAGGTTTTATTGGACCAATTTCTGAGGGGGAACAAGACAAGCTTTTGAGTGATACAGACCTCTTCTTCCTCTCATCTGAGACCAGAGATTCAAGGAAGAATATTGGAAACAAATGGTTTCATATCAAACAAGATTGTAACATGCTTCCTAGAGCCTAAACTGAACTCCCAGGACATTTCCCTGTCTCCTACGTCATAGCGTTGTCCCATCATTTTCAGTCAGGTTGGCTGAGATCCTCCTTCCCTAAGATCAAACCTCATGGCAGGTTGTCTTCAGAGATTGAAGGCTTCCAGGGTGCATCTCTCTGCACCCCCTAATGTACCAGATCAGACCTTTGATCTCCACCTGAGAACAAGTTTTCCCCAGCTGCTGTTTACCTCTTCCTGTTAGTATCGCCCCCGATTCTCCGCAAGCTCTTTGTTGGCATTGGACCCAGAATGCTGATAGACTTGTACAGGGAGACACGCAGTGGTACACTATGGAGATAAGCATCTCCTAGCTCCTGTCCGGAGTTGTTTGTCCCATGGCACACTACCTTGGAGCAACCTCCCTTTAACCACAACAAGAGAAAATAATATTCAGCATCTCCGCATAACTCCTTGCAGATTTTCCATACACTTGTCTCGCAATGGTCTTGACGATGCATGTGATGCAGGCTTTCATTAGCGACCTCACGTGACGTTCTTTGGTGGACGCATGGTAGCTCTGCACCCCTGTGTGCCCCTCTGTCTGTTGGCATCAAGAAGGCTGTGGGTCAGAGCCGTGCCAGGCACTTGCTCCGTGCCCCATGTGGAGGGAGACACTTGGGGGGGGTGGGTAAGGGAAACCAAACAGCTTTTTAATGTCTCTCCTTGACCTTTTCTCCACAGGTAGCAGCAAGACAGCCGCTGGGTAAGATATCCGGTTTTCAGAGGTATCACTCCTCCTCCCCGTGGGAGGCTGCCTGTCTGTCTGTCTCCCCCAACAGGGTAATCGATATCCCTCCAACACATTGGCCCATCCCGTCTGTTACGGCAGAGGAACCCGCCTCCTCCCACAACATCTGCCTTAGTCCCCCAACTTCTCCCCTCTGGACCGAGCTGTGAGGAGCCAGGCTGTGAATGAGAGAGCACAGATGAGTGAATATGAGAAAGAGAGAATGATAAATGAATGGGAGAGAAGGAAAAAAGGCTGGGCCAATGAGATGTTTATTTTCCACTATCTGTCCCCTCCCACTTTCACCCCAAGTCCTTCCCAATGCTGGGTGGGGAAGCACTGGGATGGGCTCCCTAGGGAGGTGGTGGAATCTCCATCCTTAGAGGTTTTGAAGGTCAGGCTTGACAAAGCCCTGGCTGGGATGATTTAGTTGGGGTTGGTCCTGTTTTGAGCAGGGGGTTGGACTAGATACCTCCTGAGGTCCCTTCCAACCCTGATCTTCTATGAGTCTATGATTCTATGATCAGAAGTGTATACCTAGGCCTGGCAGAATTTTGATTATTTTGTTATAATTTCAACAGGTAATAAGCATTCAAAAAATATATTTTTTCACAGTTGCAAGAAATTACCAGGGAAAAGTCAGATAACAGGGGGCTTAGAGAATAATTATTTAATGACAGGCCATGCCAAGATTCAAAAAAGTAAAGCTTTATATCTGGTACAGCCCAGATTGTCAGCCCCACATGCCAAAATATGCAACATCAATATCTTCAGATCAAACTTTGATTCTCAAACAGCCTTTCCCCTTACATTACATATCTGTACATTTCTGGAAATATTTTCCCCATTTGTTTCTGGAGAATCGTCCAGTCGATCGCTTGACTGCACTTTGGTTTGTTATGAAACATGCTCAAGAGACCAAATGACCAATCTCAGTCAGGTTTATTGCAGAAAGTAAATTATAGGACCAGACAGAGGGGAAAGGTTCAATACAATACTCGTTTGATAGATTTTAAGTCTAGAAATGATCGCTGTGATCATCTAGTTTGATTTCCTGCATAACACAGGCCAGAGAACTGCCCCACAATAATTCCTAGAGAGGAACTTTTAGAAAGACACCCAATCTGGATTGAAAAGTGCCCATGATGAAGAATCCACCACAACCCTTGGTGCTCCATTGCTTAATTAAATGTTCATGCATTATTAGCAGTCTAATGATGATGGCCAGTGTGACACATGCTTTCAGTAGAGACTGTACGTGATGTTATATTGGTGACCCTGTGGGTTCCCCATAGCCCCATGTATCCCAGTGCCCTCTGCCAGTTGGTACGAGGAGGTTTGGGGCCAGGGTGAGAAGCAGAGCAAACAAGCGAGAGACGCAGTGAATAGATAGTGAAAAGGAATGGAGGAATGAGGGAGAGAAAGTCAGGGAAAGAAGGAGGTGATGAATAAAGAGGAGAGAATGAGCGGGAATGGAGGAATGAAGCAGAGAGAAAAGCTACCACCAAGAATATTGTTGGCCAATGATAGCCCCACCCAAAACTCCCACCCTCACCCATTATCACACTCCAGGAGCCTGTTCCCCAAATCCTCCCAACCCTTAGGGGTAGGAGCCCATAATTCCCCCCTCTGACCCTCCCAGCTCCATCACTGAGACATAGTTCTGCCTCTTTCAGCTACCTGGGTGTCAACGGAGCCCCTGGGGTCAATTTAGGTGAGTAATGACCACCCAGCTCCCCGCCGGACACTCTCCCCCACTTTGTAGCCCATGGAGTCTCAGAGGTGGGACACGGTACATGGGAGGTGTCTGATTGGCCTTCTCATGGCCACTTCCCCTTTAAGAGGGGAATTTCTGACTGACACACTCCGGCTCCCCTACTGATGATGTTGAGACTATGTTGCCAGCTAGTGGGTCAAAAATGGGAATTTCAGCATGGAGAAAAGAGACTTGAGTCTGGCTGTTGGGTGGAGGGTCTGACGCAGGGCAGTGGGGAGGGGGAACCGGGTGCTGGATGGAGGGTCCAATCCAGGACAGCGGGGAGGGGGGACTGGGTGTTGGATGGAGGGTCCAATCCAGGGCAGCAGGGAGGGGAGACCGGGTGCTGGATGGAGGGTCCAATCCAAGGCAGCAGGGAGGGGAGATTGGGTGCTGGATGGAGGGTCCAATCCAGGACAGCGGGGAGGGGGGACTGGGTGTTGGATGGAGGGTCCAATCCAGGGCAGCAGGGAGGGGAGACCGGGTGCTGGATGGAGGGTCCAATCCAAGGCAGCAGGGAGGGGAGACTGGGTGCTGGATGGAGGGTCCGACACAGGGCAGCAGGGAGGGGAGACCGGGTGCGGGATGGAGGGTCTGATCCAGGGCAGCGGGGAGGGGGAACTGGGTGTTGGATGGAGGGTCCAATCCAAGGCAGCAGGGAGGGGAGACCGGGTGCGGGATGGAGGGTCTGATCCAGGGCAGCGGGGAGGGGGAACTGGGTGTTGGATGGAGGGTCCAATCCAAGGCAGCAGGGAGGGGAGACTGGGTGTTGGATGGAGGGTCCAATCCAAGGCAGCAGGGAGGGGAGACTGGGTGTTGGATGGAGGGTCCAATCCAAGGCAGCAGGGAGGGGAGACCGGGTGCGGGATGGAGGGTCTGATCCAGGGCAGCGGGGAGGAGAGACCAGGCAGTAGGGTCTAATCTGTTACGTGATTAGCTCTGCAGCAAAGGAGCCATGACGGGTGGGATCAGCCGGCGATGCACAACCAGCGGCGGCTACCCAGCATCCCTGGTGGGAAATCCAAGAAAAGAGGCAAGGGAGAAGAGGATGCAGGCACTGGGGCAGGATGCACAACCCTGGTAAACTCGGAGAGGAGAATGCTGAGCCCCCCACCCCCTGCTGAGCCCCCCACCCCAGTCTCTGGAGCACAGCACCCACCGGTGCCATGCAGGAGCACTGGTGTCAGTATTCCCCACAATGGGAAAGGGCCTCCTGCTGAGATCTCACCCGGCTCCCTGCAGCACAGCGCCTCCTAGTGCCGCAGTGAGGTAATGGGATCAGCTCTGAGTGTGAGGGGAGAGCACCCCGATCCCCCACCCCACTCCCTGCAGTGTCCCCTAGTGCTGCCCTGGGGCAGTGGGCCCAGCACTGACTCCAAGGGGTGAGTGTCCACTACTGAGGGCCCTGGTCCCTGCAGCACAGCGCCCCCTAGCGCCACCCTGGGGCAGTGGGGCCAGCACTGACTCCAAGGGGAGAGCACAACAAAAGTTCTCTACAGCACAACATAAGCTCTTGGCAGACCTGATTCTTCTCTGTTCTCCACTTTCCTAGTATGCTGTAGCCACGTGCTCCCCTGTGAGCCCGGGGAGCTCCACGTTCCACCAGCAAGGAGGGAATTTGGTCTCAGAGGAAGTTGTGTACAGTGAACCCCTCTTCTAATCCCTGTCCCCCAACTTCCCAGCAGCACCCTGCTCCCATTGCCTGAGAATTCCCAGACCTCAGGCTCTGCTCACTCTCAAACCTTTGTCACAGCAAACAGCTCAGTTTTGTTCTTTTCATCTTGTGGGGTGAGGGGGGTGGGAGGCAGGACTCCTGGATTCTATACCCAGATCTGGGAGGAGAGTGGGAATCTAGTGGTTAGAGCGGGGCGGGGGAGCTGGAAGGCCAGAATCCTGGGTTGTATCCTGGCTCTGGGAGGGGGGGTGGGGTCTAGTAGTTAGAGCAGGGGGGGTCTGGGAACCAGGGCTCATGGGTTCTATCCCAAGCTTTGGGAGGAGTTTGGGTACAGTGGTTAAAGCTGCTGGTGAAGGATGGGTAAATACCCCCGTCTAACCATGCTCTTCTGAATTAAACTTATTTCTGGCCCAGTTTGGTTGGTGCCATTTTTCACTCGTGTATCAACTGTGGAGTAGTGGGAAGTTTGGGGATCCTGATATTTTCAGGGTGTCCCAAGGGAGACAAACTATGTCCCTATAGTTGCTTGCACTGAGTCAACTGAAATCTCCAGCTCCGATTGAGCCTTTATGCTTACCAAGCTGAGAGTGCTACGAACGGGACCGGACATCAAAGCTGCACTAGGGCAAACCCTAGATGACAGCTTCCTGATGAACTAAAAGTGACTCTGATTACTTCGATCAACAGACATGCAAATTATGCCCTGGTAAGGAGGGCTGGCCCCAGGCCAGGAGGCTGGTTGCATCAAAGATATAATACTGCAATTTCTCTACTTGCGTTCTGGGCAGAAATACCCTTGAGCACATCGGGAACATCAAACAATGAAAAAAACCCCCCAGCAGTGACAGCCATTTCATCACTGTAAATGGCCCAGACCCCCAGCTTGGGTCCATGGGTCAGATCCCCAGCTGGGGTGAATGGGTTGTAGCTCGACTGGAGTCAATGGGGCAGATCCCAGCTGGGGTCAATGGGCCATAGCTCCCCAGTGGGTGTAAACCCGTGTAACTCAAGGAAGATTCCTTTACACCAGCTGGTACCCTGGGCTACCCTGGGAAGATCCAGCCCTCGGGGGCGGCTGCTCCGGCCCCTCCCCCCAGCTCTGCGTTGAAGTACAAAAGCCAGTGCAAACTCTGGAGAAGGTGGCGGGAAGTGGTCAGCTGCCCTCAGCCCCTCCTTACCTGAGATGCTGCTGCCTGTCCCGCCGCCCAGCTGAGCAGTGGCTGCAAATGAGGATGTGGCTTCCTCTGCCTCCATCAGAGGGGAGGGGCCCCGCCCCCTCCTTGCACCCAGACGGGGCCGGTGGCTGAGCCGAGAACCCAGCTCCCAGCCCAGAGCGACCAGCTCAGCATGGCGCTAACTCTCCTTCTGCCTCTGCTGCGTAAGTGACCTCCCTCGGCCCTCACCCCTCTGTCTGGAGACTCCTCCTCCACCCTGCCCCACATCCATCCATCCCTCTGAATCCCCATCCCCTCCCCGGAGCTCTCTTCTCTTCTCTTCTCTTCTCTTCTCTTCTCTTCTCTTCTCTTCTCTTCTCTTCCAGTCTCTCTACAGATGCTCCCCAGGCTGGCGTCCCCCGCAGGTAACGACGTCTCCTGTCCTTGAAGAGCTGCTCGCGGGGGCAAGGAGTGTCTCAGGGAGTGAGGATCCCCCTGTTCTCACGCTGTGCTGTTTGGAATAGCAAGGAGGGGGGAACCCCAGTGTGAGGCTATAGATATTCAGGCCTGTCAGTAAAGGCCTAGACTCGAAGAATTTGGGTGTATTCTTATCACTTGGCTAGTTCTAGAGGTATAAAAGAAAGAATCAAAATCACTATCTGCCGGTGTAAGGTCCTTCTCTTACTGTGACAGTCTGAGGCCCTGTGCTTAGGCTAAGGCCTTTGGCTAAGCAACAGAGGCAGCCATAAACTGGGAAGCGACCGGTCACCTCCTCACATCCCAAACTAGTCACACTGAAAGAAGGTGCTATTGGGCTGTTAGGATACAATCCTATCCTGATAGTGCCCATCGCCTCCAGAGAAAGGGAAGTTCCTTGAAGATGTAAAAGGAAACTTAGTTTGATAGCATCCTGTCTGGCAAGAACTCACTTATCAATAGCTGGGATGTGAAATCCTCACTTCTGTATTGTTTTGTCATTATAGTTCCCACTTTGCTATTGTTTGCCTGTATAATCTCTGTCTGGTTCTGTGATTGTTCCTGTCTGCTGTATAATTAATTTTGCTGGGTGTAAACTAATTAAGGTGGTGGGATATAATTGGCTAAATAATCATGTTAGGATTCGTTAGTTAAATTTCAGGAAAAGGATTGGTTAAGGTAGAGCTAAGCAGAACTCAAGTTTTACTATATAGTCTGTAGTCAATCAGGAAGTGGCGGGGATGGGAACAGGGAATGGGGGTGGGGAATTGGAATCATGTTTGGCTAAGGGCAGGAATGGGAACAAGGACACAGGTGTAAGGCTCTGTGGCGTCAGAGCTGGGAAGGGGGAAACTAAGGAAGGAAACTGGAATCATGCTGGCTGGAAGTTCACCCCAATAAACATCGAATTGTTTGCACCTTTGGACTTTGGGTATTGTTGCTCTCTGTTCATGCGAGAAGGACCAGGGAAATGAGTGGGTGAAAGAATAAGCCCCCTAACACCCAGGTGCCCCTGTGTCCCCTGGGTGGGCCAGGCCGCCCTGTTCACAGGCATCTCCCATGGAACCTTCCCCAGCAGCAACTCCTGTCCAGAGCCACATTCGTGGGGGTGGAAGAGCGACCCCAGCCGGTCTCTTTGGTGGGTACCACCCCAGGCCATAGGGGAGAAGATACTCCCATCCCCCTGGTGCTACTCAGCCCCTCATTGGCAGCCTCATCAGAGAGAGCAAGAGCTGGATGGGCCATAGGGACTGAGCATCCACCTCCGCATTACACTGAGGGGCCCATCACTGTGGGGCTGTGTGTGGAGCGGGGGCTCTCTCTCCCCCAGCTCTGGCCTCCCACAAAGAACTCAGGGCCAGGGGGCACAAACTCAGCCTCGCCCAGCGGGACATTAAAAGCAGGTTCTACAGAGACCGCAGAGGAAATGCAGTGAGTGGAAAAACTCTCCCCTCCCTTCCCCACATCTGCCTGAGCCTCCTCATTTCTCTTCAATGCCTTCTAGCTATTGCTAGGCATGTCTGATGGTCAGCTGATGGATTCTCCCCCCTCTTCTACCACTGCCCCTGGATAGAGAACATTGGGTGAATACCCTGATGGAAATGGGGGTCTTGGGGTTGAACCCTTTGCATCAACAATCCTCCCCCCTTTGTGCACCCCACTTTCCCCAGATGGAGAGTGTGGGGATTTTGAGGTGCACCAGGTGGATGAAGGATCCTTCTTGCCCCAGCTCTGCTCCTGATGCCCCTAATCCCTGATGAGAAAAACAGATTCTCTCCTGGGCTCCTGCCCCCATCCCTGAATTGTTCCTTGGCACAGTCTGGGTCCCACCCACCCTGCCATCTCCTCTGTGCAAGGGAGGGGAAAGCAGCACATTGTGGGTCAGTGGGGGGATATTATTGGGGGGAGCAGGCTGTGGGATGGAGGGTGTTAAGTTTTACAAATGGGGGGAGCTGGAATTTGCCCAGCCACTCAAAGCCTGGGTCCATCTTATAGTGAGAGACTCCAGGAGCTGGAGGTGTTTAGCATAACAAAGAGAAGGTTAAGGGGGAGTTGATCACAGTCTAGCATTTCCTATGTGGGGAACAGAAATTGGACATTCAACTGCTCTTCAAAAGAACAGACAAAGATCAAACATGACCCAGTGCCTGGGAGCTGGAGCTAGACAAATTCAGACTAGAAATAAGGTGCAGATCTTAATAGTGAGGGGAATGAACCACTCCCACAATTCCCCAAAGGTCATGGTGGATTCTCCTGCGCTGGCGATTTCTGAATCAAGCCTGACTATTTCTCTCAGAAATCTGTTCTAGGTCACAGAGGAATCAATTCAGGGAAGTCCTAGGGCCTAGATGACACAGGAAGTCGGACTCCATGATCACAATGGTCCCTTCTGGCCTTGGAATCTATATAAAGACCCCAGAGGGAGAGAGAGACGGGAGGTGGTTTATTTGCTGTGGTGTATTTCCCAGTGTGGGGGCGGGTGCTGGACAGTGAGATGAGGCTGGTTTGTGATCATGTCTGTCCAGAAATCATCTCTGCTCCCTTCTCCTCATTCCATCATGGCCTCTCCCTCAACAATCACCCTTCTTCTTCTTCTGTTCTAGCTTGCTCGCCAGCCCCCAAACTCTTGCGGGAGTACTGGTACACAGTGTATCTCCTAGGGGAGCAGGTTAACCTCACATGCTCGGCTCCTGGGCATGAGGAGGTTTCAGGATACAGATTCTTCTATCACAAAGGGCAGCAGGACCCTAGCATAGTCCTCAACCCTAACGCTGGAGCCCGGCTGGAGTTCACAGCAGAGAAGGGAAATGCTGGGTCATACAGCTGTGCGTACTGGAGATTGGAATCCAATCAAAAGATCTCGTCTTGGAACAGTAGCTCCGTCTCCATAACAGTGACAGGTGAGCCCCTGTTTTTCCTGCTGTCTGATGGGAAAGTCCCTGGGAATCTGAAGCCCACCCCAACACCCCAGCGTCTCCCCCGTCTCTGGTCAGGGCCACTCCCAGCATCTCAGACACTTTGTGGTGGCCTCATCAGGCCCCTACTGATCAGCAAAGACTGGGCACTGACAGGTTACTGCTGTGGGCAAGCTCAAAGCACCAGGGGGTGCTGTCAGGGCCACCCTCTGTAAATCTACAGCCCTGCAGCTGCCTGGATTCCTCAGTCATGATTTCTGTCAGGGGAGGCATTGGTTACTATCATGTTAACCGACCCCCTCCGGCACCAATATGCCAGGATCTCTCCCTGCCCATGTGTATGGAAAGGGAAGGCGCTATCCTGACGTGCTTGGCCCGTGGGGTGAAAGCACCATAGGACACAAATTAGTCTATCATGGCAGGGATTTGGTCTCCAAAGAGGCAAATCTTCATCCAAGAATATTACAGGAATTGGCATATGAAATTGGAAGCCCATTAGCAAGAATTTTTAATGAATCTGTAAACTCAGGGGTTGTACTGAACGATTGGAGAATTGGTAACATAGTTCCTATTTTTAAGAAAGGAAAAAACGTGATCCGGGTAACTACAGGCCTGTTAGTTT